GCCAAGTTTGATTCAATTCCATCGTTGGTGGAGTTCAGAATGCTGTTTGATTGTAGGTTAACTACAAATCCCAGCAACTACAACTCCCAAATGACAAACACAATCTGCCCACAACCCCACCATTATTCAAATTTGGGCTTATCAGGTGTTTGTGCCAAATTTGGTCCAGTGAATGAATATGCATCATGCATATCAGATATTTACATTAGGATTCATAACAGTAGCAAAATTAGTTATGAAGTAGCAATGAAAATTATTTTATGGTTGGGGATCACCAGAACATGACGAACTGTATTAAGGGGTCATGGTATTAGGAAGGCTGAGAACCACCGCTCTATGCCATCCTATAGAAGACGATTTGGAGCCACCCTGACCACACCCTTCCTCCTTTTATGCTCAGAAGTATGCCTTATTCAGGAGATACACATATATAATATTGTTTACATTTTCAGTTTATTGATTTGCCCTGCAGTGAACGTAGCTTTTAGATTTGAGTAGAAGGGGAAATAATTTTCAGACTTTACTGTGGACTAACACTAAGTCCCAAAACAAGCAAAAAAGATATGATATCGAAAGGGGGAATGATACCTGGATGGACAGATACCTGTTTCTTTACATATTTTGTAAACCTTCCCTGCCACATAAAAGTGCATTATGACCCGAATTTTTTTTTTGGTGAGGGATAAATGGACCAAAAAAAAAGAGTTTTAGTCTGGAGGCTACTTTTGTGGCTCATGGGCTATGGTTTGCCCACCTTTGTGTATATATTTGTAGGGCAGGTAAGCTCTTTGATTTAAATATATTAATGAATAATATTGAAACTAGGCATTTAGAGTGAGCATGTGGCCTACATGAAATATTTCAATGGAGAAAGACAGAATTATCTGAGGATAATTAAGAGAGATGAGATTAAGGAGAAGAAAGGATAGTGACGTACTAAACTACATATAATAGATTAATTTTGGATGAGATTTACCAAGTACTTAATTGCCATACTACATTATGAACATCAGGGTGCAGAGGTACAATAGCTGCCGCCTCAGTTTTTATAATCGTCTTTAGTACTCTGTGCCTGAAAAGACTAAGTGATGCATTATATCCTGTCAAAAAAGGCTTATTTTAAAAATGTGGGGGTGACAGAAATGATCAACAATTAAACAGAATTGTGAATGTCACAGGCTCCGGGACAATATAGTTTCATATTGCAAAGTAACTGTATTTGAGGATAAGTTTATAATTGAATAAAGGTCCATTAAGAAAATATGATTCTGAACCAATATTACCGTAATTAGATAAAAAGAAACATAAATGAAATAACTTGCAGGAAGAACATTTCCATCGAGATTATAAATGAGATTTTGATGGCACAGAAAGGCCTTTAATTGTAATTTAGTATGCTCTGTAGAAATATCAGGACAGTGTTTGACTTTGTCACAAAAAGGAGTATATGATTTCCTCTAATATGGATATGGCATGCCTTCATTTTATTTCTTTACAACTTAGAAGGTGTAAAACTAGGTGATCCATTTTTGGTTCTTTTAGAAAGATACAATAGACAATGAGCTCTGCTACTCAGTTTTTAGACTTTGGAGGCAGAATCTTTAGAAAGAAAATAATTTTACAGGTTCTGGAATGGTCTTTCATGTTAGATTCTTTATCTCTATACACTTTTTGAAGAGAATTTGTTTCTTTGGATTGCATTCAAAGATTTCTCTTTCTTCTCCTTCTTGTTGCCCTATGGGTTGTGCTTTTGTATGCAGTGATAGGATGTACACACCATTTAAACTCTAAGGAAGTAGTAGTGTAGGCTGAAAGTTGAGATCCAAAAAAGTAACTTTTCCAAGTGCATTTTAAGGACACAAGCTTTTCCAAACATAGCTCAAATAACAGCTTGCTACTTCACTGAGAATTAGACCTGAGGCAAATTAGACAGAAACTAAGGCTTGCTAGCAGTATTGTGGGTTTGTACAACAAGGCCAGTCCAACCATTATTGAGAAAGGCAACCAGCTGAAGCGGATGATGATGATGATGATGATGATGATGATGATGATTATTATTATTATTATTATTATTATTATTATTATTATTATATTTCTTACTCAACACTCCTTGTTGCTCAATGAGGGTTAGAAAATAATTAAAACACATAAACGTTGTAAAAAATACTACAAATACACATATTAAAATGTATTTCTATAAAAGCTACATATTAAAACATATTTCTATAAAATACATGCTTAAAGACTTGCTGGTTGGTAAGGAGTAGCAGCTAGATTTTGGGAGCAAAAAGTTGTGTGTGCCATAGAGCATGATCTACCCTACTAGAACTGCTACTACTACTAATTAATGTATTTGTAGCCCACTTCTACTTGTGTCTCAAGACAAGTCTTAAGTTTCTTCCTGTTTATAAAATGAAGGGAGCCTATCTAGGTTTAATTTTAACTCAAGTAGTGTAATATCTTGGACTAGTTCAATAATGCAGGAATAAACAGAGTTGATATAAAAGCTTGCTTTATTTAAAATTGTTCCATTTGTGTTAGTAGTCATCATTGACTCTGGTCCTTGGACTCTTTTCCATGAAAACATTTAGAATACATTTCCATCAGTCCTTCAAACTCTCTCAACCAATTATAGATGTTATATAAGCTCTGGAATTAGTCATTCCATTAATACATTCTCTGTTCTGGGCAAAATCGAACAAAAGTCTCTTTTTGTTGACAAGTAAAAGCTTATCCCCTCGTCAGGGTCACAGAGAATGTCTTGTGTGCTATTTGGAATACACGGAAGCCCTGTTTAGAAGTGCAGAAACATTGGACAGCCATGAACATAAAATCTAGCTTTATGGAAGTACATCTTTATTTTTATAATACTGAGGACACTTCTTAGGATAACAGTCCTAAGATCACACACATTTATTATTGCAAGGTAATAAGAATAAGAAGTTAAACTAAGTTTGTGTTTGTTACAACAGAACATGGGAGCACAAGATCCATCTTCATCTCATGCACATGCACACTCTTAGAATTATGCTTTGATCAGGTTTATGTGGAACTGCTAACGTATGTTGTGCCAGCTGAGTCCAACAAAAAAATAATCTGCAATTCTGTCTAATTCTTTGAAAAAACCCTGCAAAATCAATCCTAAGTACAGAATTTGTTCTTTAAGAATTGTTTTTGTAGAAAGTACCCAATGGTTAGTGTATTAAGGTAAGGATTCAGAGATCCTGGATCAAGCTTCTATTGAGCTATGACAACCACTGAATGACTTCAGCCAGTGACCGCATACTTTCTACAGCTAGGCTTTCTTCATATGGGTTCTAGAAAGATAAGAGGAGGGAGGAGGAGATCTATGTACTGTCTCAAGCTAATTGGTGGAAGGGTTTGTTTGTTTGTTTGTTTATGATATTTCTACCCCATCTTTCTCAAATCCGGACTTGAGGCAGCTTTACAACAAAGACAGCTATTCTCTGCCACTTAAAACAATGTAAAAATTACAATAACCATTTAAACAGAATTCTAAACCACATACATTAAAACCTATTGAAAACATATAAAACCACTACCATCACTATCAGCCTCGTCATCCAGAAATATTGTCTAAGCCATTCCAGTATTCGATTTCACATTGTTCCGTGTTTATCTATTACACTAGGTTCCCAAAGGCTTGTTCAAAAATCCATGTTTTAATTTTTCTGTGGAAGGTCAGGAGGGAGGGGGCTAATTTAATATTCCTAGGGAGGGAATTCCACAGCCGAGGGGACATCACTGAGAAGGCCCTGACTCTTGTCCCCGCCACTCGCACCTGCAAAGAAGGCGGGACCGAGAGCAGTGCCTCCCCCAGATGATCTTAAGCTCCTAGATGGTTCATAGGGAGAGATACGTTCAGACAGGTAAGCTAGGCCGAATGTTACATTTATTTATTTATTTATTTCACAGTTTTCTATACCGAGCTTCTCAACCTCATTGAGGGACTCAGCCCGGTTTCCAGCCATAAAAAACATATACACTCATTAAAATATCATATATCACAATTACAAAAACAACTTTAAAAACACTATATATAAAACTACAGTGGTCAGTCGTCCTACATGAGATATACATGTTGCAATAGGACTCCAGAAAACCAGGGTTCAAATCTCCACTCAACCCTAGAAACTCACTAGGTGAATTGAGGCACGTCAATCTCTTTCAGCCTTAGAGGAAGGAAATGGCAAACTCCTCTGAATCAGTCTTGCCAAGAAAACCCTATGATAGGTTTACCTAGGAGTTAGCATAAGTTTGAAACATATGACAATAACAACTAATATTGTGATCTGTATGTTGTGTGTACACGTGATTGTTCATTTGGTAACATAGCACCATACTGAATTAACAAAGTCCCAGACAAATCAAGTGGAATAAAGTTCCATGTCTCTACTACTAATATTCACAGTACTCCGACATGCATTTCTAACTCTATAACAGATGCAGTTGTTGATTTCTGTCCACGCAAAGGTACAAAATTCTTAGACATAATATCCTAAGCCACTTTGAAATGTCACTGCAATACAATGGGATTGTTGAGCTGTACTGCTGCAGGATCAATATATTACATCATGAGCATGGCCTTTCCGGGCATAAAGTACGTGTTCATCTCGTAATTCCTCCACTAACCAGATATAGATACAAAATCTGCCTCTTTCTTTAATCAGTGGGAGTAATGCAAGCCCATGGCTTGTAGCTGACTATTATTCAACAAAAGACTCAGATAACAACAATTTCTGTCTGTGTTATTAAAATGAAAAATACAATTACTGAATACATTTGTTCACAACCAAGCGGACATAGTCAAGCCTATTACATAGCGGAGGAGTGCAATAAATGTTGCCTGCCCAATGTATTATAACCTTTTCTATGAATTTTAATAAATACCAACAACAGCAAAAACCCCTGTTGCCCCAATGTTAATGTATCTGAAATATTATCTGTCACCCTCAGAACTGAATTGTTTTTGTTTTCAGGAAGATATCCAACACTTGGCTTAGCACTGGATGGTTCACAATGAGCATCGCATTAGAACTGTGTGACAGGATAGATGTCTATGGAATGGTGCCACCAGATTTCTGCAGGTAAATTTAATCTGGATTTTCAATTAGCTTGCTAAACTCAGCACAACAGAATCTCTTTATGCAATCCATAAAACATGTCTATGGTTTTCCTGAAGCTCTTAATTAGCAGGTCCCCTGATTGGGTTCTGAAAACAACAAACAGCATTTAATTACGTTGCATAAATTATTAAAAGTTTTTGTTTGTACTGTGAAAGAATTAATCCACATCTTGTTAGTTCCTCTTAGGCTTTGAATATTTATCAGCTAAAACAAAATGCTGCACTGGTCATGAAATGAGTCTGATGCACTGGAGAGGGGGAGCCTTTTAAATAATTGTATAAATAGATTCTTTGCTCTTTTAAGATAAGTTTATGTTGCCAGGCTGCCATGTGGGGAGTGGAAAGGGGGAACAATTTCATGTAGGCAGCCGTTTCAAACAGTTTGCCATGCATAACTTTTTAATTTCCACAGCAAACCTCTATTGCTAGAAGAGATTAGGCTTTTACCCCCATATTCCTTGAATTCTAAAGACTATGTTGGGATTAGAATCACTGGCACAATATGTGCTCACTTTGGCAGCACATATACTAGAGCCACTGAAACAATATTAAAATACACATTTGATTTAAATTAATACAAATGAAATGTAATTGAACATATGTTTACCATAACCTCAGTGGTTGCAAATCATCAAAGGTTTCACTAAGGAAGCTAAGGGTAAATTTTCCCTCTTGCATGTGTCTATGCCAGTGGTTCCCAACCTATTTTTGAACAGGGATCACTTTGACCAGGGACCACTCTCCAACATTAGTACCAAAAGGGTTACAAATCAGCTTTTGGTCAAATTTAGATTTGGTTTGGTTACTTAGGGTGCTGATTCAGAAAATTGCATTGGACAGACCACATCAGCTCTAGTTTCCAATACAGAACATATGCCATCCAGTAGTTGCCATCTGCTCACCCACAGAAAACCATATTTAATAAGCCTGGGTGCTATAAGAAGGTTTTGCGAGACCAATTGCTCTCAGGGCTATGGTGCAGTAATGGTGAGGCCATTGACCATATTTTAGTTCTTGTAGTCCACCGGTGGTCCACGGACCACAGGTTGGGAACCACTGATCTATGCAAAGGGATCTTGTAGTATCTTTGGGACAAACTGGGATGAAGAAGTAAATAGGATAGGCTTTTTTGGACTTACCATATGTCACCGATTCTAAGGTGCATGTGGAGAAAGATCTCATCTGCTGGCTTTTGATATTGTTGGCAATTTTCTTCTATTTCCCAAAAAAGGAAAGAACTGGCTTTCGGTAGTCAACAGGTAACTCTCTTGTTGATCTAGATCCTACAACTATGCTGCAATGTTTCTTAGACATCTTGGGAATGAACTGTTGGGCTGGAAGGGTTATGGACAAACTAAGAAGTCCAAAATCTCCTTCAAGTATGTTTATTCATGATAATAAGGAGTTTAGAGTGATTTCCTCCAGACAGATGACATAATTGCTTCTTCCCAGGAATGGTGCAAACTTTTCTGTACAAATTCTCTGCTCAGCCAGATAAATACGAGAGGCAGCCAGGTTAATAACTGGTGCAGCATATAGGGAGCACACAACTCCCATGTTGCGTCAGCTCCACTGGCTGCCTGTTTGCTGCCGAGCACAATTCAAAGTGCTGGCTTTGGTCTATAAAGCCCTAAACACCCCTGGCCCAAATTACCTGTCCGAACGCATCTCCTCCTATGAACCATCGTGGAGATTAAGATCCTCCGGGGAGGCCCTCCTCTCTGTCCCGCCATTGTCACAGGCATGATTGGTGGGGACGAGAGACACGGCCTTCTCAGTGATTGCTCCCCAGTTATGGAACTCCCTTCCTGGTGAGATCAGGTCGGCCTCCTCTCTCCTGTCCTTTAGAAGGATGGTAAAAACTTGGCTGTGTGACCAAGGTTTCGGAACGGGGCAATAAAGCAGCAATAGGAAAGATTACCAGGCCAATTAGATTTGACGTGGATGACTAGGTTTTAAATGGTGTATTTTAATATTTTGATAAATGTTTTTAATGTTTATGTATGTATATAAGAATTTGTGTCCAGGCATTGAATGTTTTAAATAAATAAATAAATAAATAATACAAATTTGGCTGTGGGACCAAGCTTTCGGGACAGTGCAATAAGGCAGCAATAGGAAACTTTAACAGGCCAATTCAGATTTGACACAGATGACCAATGATGGTTTTAAACCGTGTATTTTAATATTTTGATAAATGTTTTTAATGTTTATGCATACTCATATGAATCCTTGTCCCAGCCTTGAATGTTTGCCGTATATATGCTGTGCTCTGCCCTGAGTCCCCTTCGGGGTGAGAAGGGCAGAATATAAATGTTTCAAATAAATAAATGAGACATTTGAGTTGCCCTTTGTGCTGCCCCCATTACTGGCACAGTAAACACGGCTGTATATGTGTATACCCTCAGTGGAAGCACCGACTGTTGCATGGCACCACTTCAGAAAATTGTGATGTATTTTACAAACTGCCATCTATAAATGCCTCCCAGCTGTGATATTAATAAGTACGTTAACTCTGACAAAGTACTGATTAATGTCCAGTATCACAGAGTAGTAAAAGAGCATCTGTTTTAATATTAATAAATGAGGATGACTTTCAGCTTCCTCATATAAATTGCTCATGCATTTCATTTGGTAGCATCAAATTTTAATTGTGAAGTGGGGAGTTAACACACTATTCTTATTCTGAGTTATTCAATGTGGAAGGATAAAAATGCTCAAACTCATTCAAACTGTATTTGAAAGTGTTTAGGAAGAGGGTTGGCATCTGGACTGCAACACACAGGAGTCAGATCTTATGTTTTTGAGATAGGAGAAGGTGGATCATCAGTACAAGTCCTTTTCTTTCAGCATCTTTTATGTTCACCTAGAGCTGCTAACAATTCATTCTTATGCTAGTTAAAATTAGTCCCATTTGGTCAGAAGATTGGTTATTTGTGCAATAAAGACATATTTTGCAGGAGGCTGTCAACACATTGTTTCTGTACAGGGATGGCTGCAATGAGCTGGGAGAATACAATTCCTTTCTACCATTATTTATGTCAGTGGTGCCCAACCTTTTCTGACCAGGGACCACTTGACCTGGGACCACTTGACCAGGTACCAAAAGAGTTACAAATCAGCTTTTGGTCAACTTTAGATTTGGTTTGGTTATTTGGGGTGCTGATTCAGAAAATTGCATTAGACAGACTACGGCAGCTCTAGTTTCTGATGCAGAACGTATGCCATCCAGTAGTTGCCATCTGCTCGCCTTGGCGCTATAAGAAGGTTTTGCAAGACCAGTTGCTCTTGTCACTATGATGTAGTAATGGTGAGCCCATGGACCATATTTTAGTTCTTGCAGACCACTGGTGGCCCACAGACCACAGGTTGGAAACCACTGATTTATGTAATTGTCAGAAGAAGTAGTGTTAAAAGCAAGAGAGCTGTTTCTCCACCAGAAGAAACCAATGGCTTCCATGTCAATTCAATTGTGAGTTGACCACTAATCTAAACTTTAGGGACACTATCTGGGGTGCTGATACTATTCGAGGGGGACAGTTCAGCTTAGATAGCTCTTTTAATATTCAGACTTCAACAGGTTAGAAGATTCAGCGTTCCACAGATCTGGAAGCCATCAGCATCCCCTGACTCTGTTTTTCTTCCTTGGAATGTACAATACACCACAGCATATTTTCACACTATTGTGCCATATCACTAATTGACAATGGAGGACAGGCATGCAATGACATATTTTGTTCCACAGCATTTTATACTACATCGGTTTCCCCCAAAACTGTTGTGATCCTGATTTTGAAGTTATATATCCCAACAGCTGACTATGGAGGTTAGGACTGATGCAACTGAAGGCCCAAATACATGGCTGTACTAGGTATCATGATACAGGCAGAGCATAGAAACATAAAGCAGCAGTATTCTTACAGGTCTTCTATCATCATGTCATGTTATGGCATGTGGGATGTGGATGCTGATTGTCAACTAGGAAAGCATAGATAGGGCTGTCAGAGTGAAGACCCAAACTTTTTGCATGATGTCTTTTGTGTGGAACTTGAGCACTTCACATCTACTTGCTAGATGTGAAATACTACACACATAAAGATACCCTAGCACAGTGGTTTTCAACCTGTGGGTCCCCAGATGTTTTGGCTTTCAATTCCCAGAAATCCTAACAGCTGATAAACTGGCTGGGATTTCTGGGAGTTGTAGGCCAAAACACGTGGGGACCCACAGATTGAGAACCGCCTTTCTTCGCGATCACATCTCCCTTTATGAACCGGCGTGAACTTTAAGATCTTCTGGGGAGGCCCTCCTTTCGCTCCCACCACCGTCACAAGCACGGTTGGTGGGGACGAGAGAGAGGGCCTTCTTGGTGGTGCCCCCCCACCTCTGGAACACCCTTCCTAGAGAAATAAGACAGGCCCCATTCCTCCCCTCCTTTCGTAAGAGCCTGAAGACCTGGTGATCTAATAAACAAGCCTTTGAGAATAATTATTCTAGCTTAGTCCCAGATACTGTTGAATATGGCCATATCTTTTTCTACCAATTACCCATGTTACTTCCTCCTATTAGGCCCCGGAAATGAACAGCCATAGACTCTACCTAATTTCCTCGGCCCGCTACAAATTGCACTAGCCATGGCCCGGCCTTTTAAATTGCCTTGAACAGGCAGGATTATTTTAAATGTATATGTGCTATTGTGATTTTTTTATGGTTATATTGTCTTGTTAATTTTATGTTTATGTTGTTTACTTTGTATGTATTGATGATGTTACTTGGAAACCACTCTGAGTCCCCTCGGGGAGATAGAGTGGTATATAAATAAAGTTTTGTTTTTGTTGTTGTTGCTCTAGTGTGATGAGGTCCTTAGGTCTCTAGGTTTTTGGTGGGGATGTGTGGCTGGGATGTCTGGGAATTGTAGGCTAAAATCACTGCCCTAGCACCTCCTTTCTATATTCATGATTTACTCTCTGTGTGTGTATCCACATCACTAAACAAATACAGCTTTTTCAGATAAATCTGACATTTTGCAGCAAAGTTAAATATAATAAGTTCTAAAAACTGATATATGATATTAAGGGTACAATTCATGTCTGGTTTTGGAAAATTAGAGAGAATTAACCTGAAAAAAATGGCATCTTCAGTCTACTTATAAAGATGTACAAATATAACTATTCTGATAAACAGAAGTAGAGCGACTTAAAATGCTGAAAGGTGACACACGTATCCCAGATATTTAAAGACATATTGCTTATTTGAAACTTAATTCAGACTTGTCAAAGTCTGAAAGGAGGAAATCCTTCATTGGTTTGGTGAAGTGCTCAGCTGTGGATCAAACATTACTAAAAAATTCATGCCTAATTAAACTGTATAGCATCAACTGCTGGCAAAGTTATGTCAGTCACATTAAACTAGAAGCTCAAGTGCTGTCAGCTTGTAGGAAAATGTTCTGATGAGAAACTTGTAAAAACAGACCGGAACAGCACAAAAGCAGCACAAGAGAGGTATCAGACTGCAATTATTGGCTTTATAACTTCAATTTTGGGTGTTTTGAACAAACTGTCATGATAATTACATTGGTACTGCTTTCCCATTATAAAAAAAGTGGTTGTGATTCAGATATTTTAGTCTACATTGCTTAGCTTTAAATATGGACAGTGCAACACTGTTCGGTTCTGTTTCCCAAAGATGCAAGTCCATTTACATAGGTATTAGTCACATACTGAATTCCCATTAAGATTCTTAAATTGTTTGCTTCATGAGAAAGAGAGAGAGCTGGGAATGTTTGGCATTGAACAGTATCATTTCACAATATACACTTTGAAAGACAACAATGGAATGCCGACATCTATATTACAGATTCATGACCTAGAGTTACAGATCCATAACTGCTTTGTATTCACTGTGCAGTCATAGCCTACGTTACAGACAGCATCCCACAGCCCTCTTTAGCAGCAGATCTGCATGTTGTGACAATCAGAATCAGGACCACTTCTCTTGGTGCAATTGAAAGTAGTTGGGATAAGTAAGTCTGGGAGATCATTACTACTTACATACGTAATGTTATAGGCAGTATAGAATATTTACAGGTGGCGTAGTGGGTTAAACCACTGAGCTGCTGAACTTGCTGACCAAAAGGTCAGTTGTTCGAATCTGGGGAGTGGAGTGAGCTCCTGCTGTTAGCCCCAGCTTCTGTCAACCTAGCCATTTGAAAACATGCGAATGTGAGTAGATAAGTACTGCTTTGGCAGGAGGTAACAGCGCTCCATGCAGTCATGCTGGCCATCATGACCTTGGAGGCTTCTATGGACAATGGCGGCTCTTCGGCTTAGAAATTGAGATAAGCACCCCACTCCCCAGAGTTGGACACTGCTAGACTTTAATGTCAAGGGGAAACCTTTACCTTTACTTACACATACACACAATACAGACTATAGATCATTATCCAAGTCTTTAATGCCTTTATAACATAGCAGACAGATGTTCCCACCCTCCTTCCATGAGCAATGAGCAGTACAAGGAGGAATTGCAACAAGGATCCTGCTTCAGACTATTGCAAGGGAGATGTCAGTCTGCACTATCCCACAGAACAAAACAGACCTCTTTTGCTCACAGCTGCAGCTGTCAGAAAGTCAGGATGGGTGGGTGGTGTTCAGGCTGGAAGATAGTACTTACTGTCTTAGGGTAGGACATCTAGAATAGTAGCCATGGACTTCTGTGTTTTTTAGTTTTAATTTATCCTCACACCTAAGGTATTTTGTACTATTTTGCATATAATCACTATATTTTATACTTGACAAGAAAGTACAATCATAGGCCTTTTTAACAGTGATTCATTAGTTGTCCCTTCCATGGTGGTCACTTATCCAGGTTCTGTTCTGCCGGACTGACTTTTGTTTTGTCTTGTTTGAATTGGATATGCGATGGTGAAGTGCAAAATGTTCTAAAACTACACTCCTAAAAGAACAGTAATCAGGGTTTGAGTGGAAGTCATTATTTTTCAGAATTTAATTGCAGACTTTTTGTGTGTGTAAGAAAGTACCATTGATATGGAGAGGAAAAAATTTTTGAGTCAAATCATGGCTAAATTTAACACCATTTAGGATTAATTCTTCTGTGTGCTGTATACTAAATTATATATACCCTCAGGACAGCATGGGGTTGAGGCTTACAATTCTTCTCTGCTTTAATATTCAAATATTAAGTATATTAAAGCGAGCATTGTTAAATAAAATTCTTTTCTTTGTGATTCAATTCCATTTCAGTTGAGAATGATACAACAATGGCTGATTGACAGACCATAGCTTGGGGTTACAAAGGGGTGTGCTTTAATCCTGTGTGCCATGCTGGCAGGATTTTCATGTGAGTGTGAGGCACAGCATCAAAAAGCTGGAACCTGTTTGACAAACCTATTCATCCCCCTTGAATGTCTCTGCAGGTTCTTTTCTCAACACCACCTAGATTCATGCACACCAAGCTTCATTTGCACAATGGTGCAATGTGGCCTTATTGTATATTGCCAGTGTTTTAACAAGGGCAGGTAACAGTATCTCTGAGCTGTTTTAATTACTTTTTAAAATGTTGTTAATTTAGATGCGCACGGAACAACAGCAAAAGGACTTTGTTCTTACAAATGATAGCATCTAGCGAATATAGTATAAGTATAGGTTTCCCCTTATATTAAGTCTAGTCGTGTCCGACTCTGGGGGATGGTGCTCATCTCCATTTCTAAGCTCTTCAGCCAGTGTTGTCTGTGGATGCTTCCAAGGTCATGTGGCCGGCATGACTGCATGGAGTGCCATTACCTTCCTGCCGAAGCAGTACCTATTGATCTACTCACATTCACATGTTTTCAAACTTCTAGGTTGGCAAAAGCTGGGGCTAACAGTAGAAACTCACTCTCTCTCCAGATTTGAACCGCCGACCTTTTAATCTGCAAGTTCAGCAGTTCAGCAGTTTAACCCACTGTGCCACCGGGGGCTCCTACAATTAGTAAAAAAAAATCGAATCAGGAGTGAACCAAGGGTACAGTTGTAATGTATTTAAAAAACAAACAACAACAAAACCCCCACAAAGTTTGAAAACTTGGCATTCTATTAAATTTCCTTTGACCAGTAGCTGGCCACTTGGAGTGCCTCTGGTGTTGCTATAAGAAGGTCCTCCATTGTGCATGCGACAGGGCTCAGACTGCATTGTAATAGATGGTCTGTTGAGGTGTTCCTGCTAGTGTCTCTGTAGATCTTAGAAAATTATTTCTTGATTTAAGGTGTTGGCATGCTGGCTGATGTCCAAACAGGGAAAGGGCCGGAGATGTCACTGCCTTGGTCCTTTCACAATTGGCTGCTCCTTCCTTGGGGATGTCAGGTGGCGCAACACCGGCTAAGCGGTGTAATTTCTCCAGTAGTGTAGGGTGCAGATAATGTGATAATGTGACATGTCTCATTGAGAGCCACATCAGCTGTTTTAGCATGGTGATTTGTGTTCTACACAGGGCATGTGTTCTTAGCAGCAGAGTAGCAAAGTGCAAGGGCAGATGTCATCACTGTATCTGGTTGTGATCCCCAGGTTGTGCCAGTCAGCTTTTGTATGATATTGATTCTAGCAACCATGTTTTGCTTGATATTCAGGCAGTGTTTCTTGTAGGTCAGAGCACGGTCCAAGGTAACTCCCTGGTATTTGGGTATGGTGCAATGCTCCAGTAGGATTCCTTCCCAGGTAATACTCAGAGCTCGAGATGCTTGTATGTTCTTAAGATGAAAAGCACATGCTTGTGCTTTCTTTAGATGGATTAGGAATCAGCTGGTTTCCCTGTAATAAGCGGTAAGAGCACCCTAGATCTTCAGGGAGCTTCTGTTCAACCATCTCAAAGCTCAAATCAATGTGTCTATGCTTTCCTTCTAATTCCTCTTTTTTTTTTGCAGGGATCCTAAACATCCTTCGGTACCTTACCATTATTATGAACCTTTGGGACCAGATGAATGTACAATGTACCTTTCACATGAACGGGGAAGAAAAGGAAGCCACCATCGTTTTATCACAGAGAAGCGAGTGTTTGAGAACTGGGCCCGGACTTTCGATATTCATTTTTTTCAGCCAGACTGGAAACCAGAATCTCTTCCTCTGAATCATGGGAAGATTAAACTGGCATTCTGAGGAATGACTGCACAAGGCTGTGCCCACAATCACCTACTGTAGCAGGCTTCAGGGGATTGAATACTGTATTGCAGCAAGCCAACCTAGAGAAGAAAGGTTCACAGGGTTTGCGGATGGAAATTGCTACAATATTCAGGAAGTTATTGCAAAGGAATACCTAACAAGGACGCCTGGTATCCAGTTGTATCTAAAGCAAATATTTTAACTTCTGTCTATTGTACACACATAGATGTATGTGATTTTGTTAAGGAGAAGAAAACGATGGAGAAATCTGTGGTATTATAAGCATAGTTTGAGATTTTAATTGGTCATGTTTTTAAGGCACGTCGCCACTGGGTTTTCATAGTGACATTTAACAGTTCCTTACTTAGTGAAGGTTTTTAATGCAATTCAGTATTTTTCTATTTCACAATGATATGGTTATTTATCTTTCATAATCCCTTCAAAACTGAGGATTTATATTGCTGCTGGTTTAAGGCCCAGCTTCTTGTTTATACATTTTTCTCTTTGAAATATAGGATGATCCTATCTAGCATGTAATTAATATTTGATCTGGAAGTGATGTATTTTATTTTTTTATTTTTTATTGTCGGGCAGTGTTCCAGCATCAAGCCGTTTGACAGCGAGTAGGTCATTACGTGATGCTGTAGCAGAGAATGATGACCACAACGATAGTCTGTGGCATCCTGCACACATGTAACAGAAATATGGAGGACTCTCCATTACCCAATGGTTTTAGTCTTTCGGTATTCAAAGTAACTATCAAGAGCTGAGCTACAAGTTGGCTCTTGGTTCACCTCATCAAAAGGTGGCCTAGGCAAGCTGGACTTCGCTGTGAGTTGCAAAGTTGATGTGTTGCTTTGTACGTGCCGTCTGGACAGTGGTTTAGTTCCCCTGTTTTAGATTTCAAAAGATCAGGCTGCAATCCTATATATACTTATATGGCAATTTCCCAAAATGTCAGTCTGTTGCAGCAAAAAAGAATGAAGAGTCCTGTGGCATTGTAAAAGACGTAACAGATCCATTAAAGCATTATATGGGAGTGTGAGCCACTGAACTCAATGGTGAGACAAGCATGGAACTGCACTGCTTAAAGGGGAATATAAAAGAGGATGAGCGACATGAATCTGTCTAGGCAAGATGGGATGAAATGGCAAGGAAAGTAAGGAAATCTGACTGCAGCCTTTCCTGAGGAGGGTAGAGCCCAACTGCATGTAAATACAGGGTTTGTGTGTAATTGTAGCAGTTTTTAAAAGGCTGGCAAATGTAAATTTTGTGCCAGAAACCAACAACGTGTGTGTTTTAAAGTGTAGGAAGCAGTGTAGTTCTGTTCTCAAAGCCAACAATTGGTTCTGGCCATAAAATGTGCCAGCTTTTTTGAGATGCACTGAGGATACCTAGTTCTTGCCAAGTTGACTGAATGGCACTAATAGTTCTGTATATGGATAGTTGCACATTATGTTTTTGTGGGATTATATCTGGCTTGTGAATAAAGAGGATTTCATTTGCAGTGTTATTTGTCCTTTCACCTCATAAATGCTAGAAGCCAAATGACTTGTTCAAAGTAATTGCCAAGAATTACTTGACTTGTTGCACACTGCCATCCATCAGTAATTCAAACAATAAAATCCTTTCGTACCGCTGGCACTAAAAATAGCGTTAAGTCGTCATTAAGAGTGCAGGTTATTTCAAATTGCTCATCACAGAAAAGCCACAATTCACACAATCCAGACTTGAGGTAATATGAAGGTTTTTTCTTTTCTGTGGGAGCTGAACTTGAGAATTTACAGAAATCAAGTGAATGTTGCTATAAGATTCCAAATCCAACACCAGTAGAAACCATTGCCGTCAAGGTCGTGTGATAGTAATGGGAAATATTGATCCACTCATTTGAGAAACAGTTCACTCTCTGCCCTTATCTGGGGCATCTTGAAAGGAAATGGCTGTCATGCTGATGTCTGCTCCTGACTACTGAGTAGAATATTATGAACAGGAAAGAAAATGGAAAGCTGTAAGAAGTGGAAGCGATACCACCATAACAAAGAGTTTACATCAAAATAACATACTGTGTTTTCTGGCGTATAAGACTACTTTTTAACCCAGGAAAACCTTCTCAAAAGTCAGGGGTCATCTTATGTCGTCTTATAGGGCGGGTGCTGAAACTTCCGAGCCGGAGTGGAGAATCTGTGGTCGCCACATGTGGGGGGAGCTCAAAAACTGCTGCATCCCCACCATATGTGGTGACCGTATGAAAACAGCAAGGACGGCAGTGTACAAGTAAGGTAGAAGAAAATCCACTCACCAGAATTCATGGAAATAAGTGACTTAACGCAGTCCCATTGACAAGGTGAGGGGGCACCTCACCGTGAAGGTGTAAGTGAAGGGCGGAGCAAGCTGCAGGCATATGGAACACCCGGGGTATGGAAAAAAGAGAGAGTGGTGCTGTGCCCAGAAAAACACGCCTCTTTCACCCATCTGGCCTGCCCTTGCATCCTATTACTGTACCTCCTTCTCAGCCTCTCAGATCTCACTCCTGAGGACTGCACATGTGCAAGATCTGAGAGGCAGAGAAGGAGGTACAGTAATAGGAAAATTATCATATTGAAATCAAATCTGATGTTTTTTAAATTTTTATTTGGTGTGCATTGGAGGAGGGGTAGTTTTATATGGAGAGTATATCCCAAACTATATATTTTAACTGGAAAAATTGGGGTTGTCTTATATGCCCAGTTGTCTTATACACCGGAAAATACCAATGTGTTTCTGTGGAACCTTCTGTGGTTCCTTCACCCTTTACAGGTAGCAGCACAGGAATTGTTTACTATTGAAGAATGAAGGAGCCATTTCAAGCATAAACAAGGACAATGTATTGTTGAAATCTTTAATGACTGGAATCACTGGGTTGCTGCAGGTTTTTCGGGCTATATGGCCATGTTCTAGAAGCATTCTCTCCTGACGTTTTGCCTGCATCTATGGCAAGCATCCTCAGAGGTTGTGAGGTCGTCATAGCCCATATAGCCCGAAAAACTTACAACAAACCATAAACAAGGACGGAATTGATGCACATGAAAGCTGGAGCCAATGGAAGCACTCCTCCACCTACTGGCTGGAGCCACTGCCTGCGCCATATAGCTAAAGTTGATTAACATTGTTAAGCTGATTTACAGGTCATTTTTAATGTCACTGGGAAAGATTCAATTATAGATTGCAGTGGTGCTCCTGCAATGGCCTAGCTCTTAACAATTCAGTCATTATTTTAATACAAGAGTTATGAGGTATGTCCAGCAGCAAGACACAATTGCTGGGCTTTTGCATTGAATAAGGCACTGATGGCAAGATTGGCATTTTACCAAGTCCCATGACAGTTTCACTTGTTAGTAGAGGTCTATAGAGTGACAAAGTAAGAGTCGAGTTGCAGCAGTCCAGGCTTCACAGAGAGGCATACCTTCAACATTTTGTAGAGTAAGACACAGGAGGACTAAATCTCACGTTCTGCCTTCAGTTGAAACAGTTGTTCTCAACTGGGAGTTGTAGGCCACAATACTTGGGGAGCCACAAGTTGAGAACCACTGAGTTAAAAGGACCCAAAGGATTACTGTTTTCTGAAGAGGATTTTATGTACAGAAACTATGCTTTTAAGACTCATTCAGATTGGTATGCTCATTTGCTATTTCAAATATTTTCTCTTTTTTTCTCCTAAAGAAAAACCAAATGGACATGATGTTTTTCTCTCATTAGGTTTTTCTCTCATTAGAATCTGCAGCGTAACTGAGTCACTATCCGATTAATTCTATTGTTCTGAAGATGAGGAAAAGATGACATCATGCGAGAAGTTTGTTTGCCACTTCCATCCATTTTCCTCTTGTAAAAGATAGGCATTTCTGTACTTGTGTTTCTTCTAATCTGATACTAATAGTATTTTGTGATGGATGTGGAGATATCATTAAAATATCTCTTCCAGAATAATACTTTTCTAATCTTCATAATAAAGACGACTTGTGTTTATTTTGAGCAAAAATGCAGAAGATCCAACATCTGCATCCTCTATCAACTCCTGCTAGAGAGCAGGGTCCCCCATTGCCTCAGTCCCCATCTCGTAGGACTCAAAGAGAATTCCACTATCGAGCTTCTTGGCCATCTGCCTCCTCATCATCATCATCTGGATTGTGTGTGTGTGTGGTAGGTTATGACGAGAATTCAGAGTCCAATACACATAGTGTTTTCATCCTTAAAAATGCAAATCATTGCCACGAAAGATGGAGTTTATTCTTTGGAAATGTGGGCAACTTCTCTACAGAGAAAAGGTGGTGACAGTATTATGCCTGTGAAGTACATTGGCACACTGTCTATTTTCATTGATCTTGGCTCAGTGTCAAATCTGTAAAAGACATGACAGTAGAAAAGGGAAAAGTGGGTTATATACTGAGAGATGCGTATTTCCTTTGCTACATGGACTTTTCTTTCCTCTGCTTTCATCAATGTCTGTATTGTTAAATATGCTGGCTTTTCTGGGTAGATAGCCCACGCTTCTATCATTGCAGCACAGAACTAAAAACATCTTTGTGAATTACTTTATGTATTAATGTAAAAGCGCAGAAGAGATGTATAATGCGGGCTTTTGGAATCTAGGGGAACAGAAGCAATATGTTGAGAAAGTAAACACAAAGAGGTATCTTGAAACAGAAGGTCACTGTAGGTTTTTTTGTTTTTGGTTGTTTGTTTGTTTTTGCTCAACCCTCCCCAAAATATTCTTCTGGAAACTCAGCATTACATTCATGTAAAAGAAGTTAGATCCCATAAGTGCCCACTAGTGCAATAAAAGCTTCAAGGACAAAAATTATAATACAACTTCACCACACTATACTCAAATTCTCCTGTATGAATTATGTTTTAGAGCTATCTTGACCTCATGAGATTAAAACATAAGAGAGTAGTGGAAGGAATGTACATACGTATGGCAGGGTTTTATCCAGTTTAACATTTTTGAATTACAAATTCTGGTTGAGAATGTTTGGTTGCTGTCATCCAAAAGTAACTGTGATGTGACATTCAGGATGCATGAAATAAATTCCCCAATAGGTTTGGGAGATATGATGAAAAGAAAAGATTTTTGTCAGAAGATCACAGAATCTCAGCTGGTGATCTTACAGGCTATCAGACACACTCCTCTGCTAAATGTCGTCACCCCAGGCAAGGAACTGTTGTCTTGGCTCTGCTGAAAGACTTTCAATGAAGAAAAGTCGCCATCCCACAACGTAATTAATTTCAGTGTAGAATGTCACTGTCAAATATACTTTCACCATTAAAATATTTATCCGAGTATTCCAGCACTTACTGATATCCTGGAGTTGGGAATTCTACGCCTTCTGGGAAAGTAATGATACAACAAATCTAATGAAAGCTTTCTGGAATTTCATTGATATCAGAGAAAACAACACTCGAGAGAACTTGTGAAATGTAAATACAATCTAGACCACTAACTTTTTTCTCAGTTTTATATATATCCAGTGTTTCTAAACCGGGTGGTCAGGAACCCTGCAGGAGTTGCGAGGGGTATTAGAGAGGTCACCAAAGACCATTAGAGAACACAGTATTTTCTGTTGGTCATGGGGATTCTGTGTGGGAAGATCAACCCAATTCTATCGTCGGTGGGATTCAGAATGTTCTTTTATTGTAGATGAACTATAAATCCCAGCAACTACAACTCCCAAATGTCAAGGTCTGTTTTCCCCAAACTCCACCAGTGTTCACATTTGGGCATATTGAGTATTCCTGCCAAGTTTGGTCCAGATCTATCACTGTTTGAGTCCACAGTGCTCTCTAGGTGAACTACAACTCCAAACTCAAGGTCAATGCCCACCAAACCCTTCCAGTATTTTCTCGTGGACATGGGAGTTCTGTGTGCCAAGTTTGGTTCAATTCAATCGGTGGTGGAGTTCAGAATGCTCTTTGATTGTAGATCCAACTATAAATCCTAGCAACTACAACTCTCAAATGACAAAATCAATCCCACCCAACCCCACCAGTATTTGTGTCAAATTTGGTCCGGTGACTCAAAATCTTGCATATCAGATATTTACTTTATTTATTTATTTATTTATTTAGGGCTTTTATATCCCGTCCTATCTCAACCTCCGAAGAGGGACTCAGGACGGCATTACGATTCATAACAATAGCAAAATTATAGTTATGAAGTAGCAACAAAATAATTTTATGATTGGGGGTCACCACAATATGAGGAACTGTATTAAGGGGTCATGGCATTAGGAAGGTTGAGAACCACTGATATATACAGAACATGTATAGGAATCATGAAGCTCCCAGATGTTGGACTATTGCTCTAAATATTCTAAGTATTTAGTATGAATAGTACTAAAAAAAACCTATATACATGTGAGTCACATAGACCATGAAGACAAATTATCAATTTTATTACTAGTTTATCATTTTTTAATTCCAAGATACAAGCATTCTACTAAATCTTGCATTTCTTTCACTCCAATCTCCTTTAAGATTCTCTGTGCCTAAATGAACAATGAACTGATGACTTAGGGCCCTTCCACACAGCCCTATATCCCAGAATATCAAGATAGAAAATCCCACATTATCTGAGTGTGGACTCCGATAACCCAGTTCAAAGCAGATAAATAAAGAATGCTAGCTTACACGCCAATGTAAGAGTGAGATTTTCTGCCTTGATATTCTGGGACTGTGTGGAAGGGCCCTGAGAAAAATAGGGAAATCTGAACCAGTTTCCTCCTCAACCACCACAGCTCTGCTACATGGCTGTCCTCTGACATACTTTATCATCGAGAGTTTTCATGAAGAGGTTGCAAGATGTCCCTCACTATTAAGCAGCTGGACACTGCTGGAATCTGGAGAGATAGTGGATGTTGCAATCCAATTGCTTTCCACATTCAGTGCATAAAGAAATCTCAAATTCATTGAGCATGGATTGCTGCATTTCAATCTAATTGCTTTCCTCACCTCTGTTAATCAGCTTTACTGGCATACTTACTGCCTTTTCCGTTTCATAAATTGCATTTTAATAACCCACCTAATTGCCTCTTTTCCCTAAGCAGATTATCTTTTCAGAAGGACGTCTTGACTTGTATCTCCGTGTCTCCCCGGAATCCACCCAAAGTCTTCTGCTTCTACCCAGGACAGATTTTAGGGCAAACAGGAGGCCTTTATGAGGTCTAAAATGTAGGAATGATAATTGAAACAAAATGGATCTGTTATTTTTAGCTTAGCTATCTTTTTCAATGTTACTGTTTCTGTCTATAAATCAGATTTATCATTACATTTAAGAACATGATAGTTTGATAGAAGATGAGAGAATGTGAAGTAGAAAAACAGTTACCCGAAACAAGGAATGCTTCATATAAGATGCTTTAAAGAAGGGTTCAGTGAACAGAAAATGAAATATTGATACTATTTTAAGACATACATCTTTCTAATCATTTCTGGATACCATTCCATTTTAAAGCATTGGCGTGTAAGCTAGCATTCTTTATGTATTTGTTGTTTATCGTATCAGAAGTGAACTGAGGATACCATTGTAAATGTAGCTGGTCATTTGGAGTGCCTCTGATGTTGCTATAATGGTGCTCCGTTGCGCATGTGGCTGGGCTCAGACTGCATTGTAATAGATGGTCTATGGTTTGCTCTTCCCCACACTCACATGCCGTGGGCTCCACTTTGTGGCCCCATTTGTTTAAGTTGGCTCTGAATCTCGCGGTGCCAGAGCGCAGTCTTTCAGCGCCTTCTAAGTCGCCCAGTTTTCTGTGTACCCAGGGGGAAAGTCTTTCATTTGGTGTGAGCGATGGGTTGAGATTCTGGGTTTTAGCCTGCTCCTTTTGGACTCTTGCTTGCTGAAGTGTTCCTGCAAGTATCTCTGTAGATCTTAGAAAATTATTTCTTGATTTAAGGCATAGGTGTGCTCCTGATATCCAAATAGAAGATGGGCTGGAGATGTCACTGCCTTGGTCCTTTCATTATTGGCTGTTGCTTCCTGATGGATGTCCAGTTGTGCAATACCGGCTAATCAGTATAATTTCTCCAGTGGTCTAGAGCGTAGACATCCTGTGATAATGTGGCATGTCTCATTAAGAGCCACATCCACTATTTTAGTGTGGTGAGATATGTTCCACACTAGGCATGTGTATTTAGCAGCAGAGTAGCAAAGCGAAAGGGCAAATGTCTTCACTGTATCTGGTTGGGATTCCCAGGTTGTGCGAGTTAGTTTCGTATGATATTGTTTCTAGCACCCACATTTTGCTTGATATCCAGGCAGTGCTTCTTGTAGGTCAGAGCACGGTCCAGGGTAACTCCCAGGTATTTGGATGTGCTGCAATGCTCCAGTGGGATTCCTTCCCAAGTGATCCTCAGAGCTTGAGATGTTTGTTCTTAAGATGAAAAGCACATGTTTGTGTTTTAGATGGATTAGGAATCAGCTGGTTTTTTCCTGTAATAGGCAGTAAATTCTATAAAGCATTCTTTATAGAATTTAGGGTTACATACCTCATTCACAAAACTAACAACATCCTAGAGGCCTCTACATGTAAAAGGATAGATTATTTTACACTAAAGAAATATTGAAGCCTATGGATGGGATCCCATTATTGAAAGTTACACCTGCGTATGTAACCTGTTTGATCACAGTGGATGGAGAAACTCAACACCTCCATCAACTACAACTCCCCTTCTGAGCCACAAACCTGTTTTCTGGCTCCACAATTATTTAATAGCTCCACAACTATTTAATAGAGGGAAAAGAAGGAACAGACAGATGACCATTTAGTTGCTGTGGGTAATAATGGAAGAAGAACTGAGTGTGCAGGGCAACAGGGGAACGTGTAACGATACCTGTCAGAACATTACTATCTGCTAATGTGATGCAGGATCTCAGCCTATGCCATGCATATTTTTAATTCAACACAAGACTCTATTTTCATGTACTATAATTAAATCATCGTGGGTACAATTGTATCGAGCTGTCACCATCGATGTATACATTATCAAGAAGTGAAGATAGAAGAGCATCACTTCACTTATCAGTAGAGAGGATGCATCAGTGGTATGCTAGATCTGAAAAAGCCATTCTGTGAAGGGAAGTCTTCCATGGTTCATAAACCCAAGTGAGTAGTAGATGTCAGCTTTTATCTACACAATTCATGAACTTCCTTGTGTGACTCTGGCTCTCTCAACAGCATCGTATTCAATACTCGCAGGTAAAAATCAATGTCAGAAATGAAGGCCATTTTGTGCATTTTAGTTTCACCCCACAAAAGACGATGGGTTACTAGAACAGAAAGATTTACTGTATACAGTGTACATTCATAGAATCATAGAATTGGAAGAGATCTCGTGGGCCATCCAGTCCAACCCCCTGCCAAGAAGTAGGAAAATCGCATTCAAAGCACCCCCAACAGATGGCCATCCAGCCTCTGTTTAAAAGCCTCCAAAGAAGGCACCTCCACCACACTCCTGGGCAGAGTGTGGTGGAGGCTCCTTCTTTCATTACATATACCTGAAGTGTGTACCATTGTGATTCACTTCGGGTGTCCAGCTTTTTGTCTAACATCTTTATTATGATTCCCTCAACACAAAAGCTACACATTGCATAATATGTGGGCTATCTTCTATCATTTGATCATTCCATATGAGTCCAAATCTGATTAATGTTATCACATCTGTAGCTATGGCTTATTATAAGTCCCTGTACCTGAGGCAAGACATTTTTATTCATACCTTTATTTTCACTGGAAACAGATTTAAAGCCAAATTCCAAAAACAAATAAATATGCAACAAAAATATATAGAGAATTTACTTATTAACATTATCAACATGTTCTTCTATGCACACAGCCAGGATGTTTGAACATAGCTAATCTCATATTCCAGATTCATTTCAGAACATAATGTGAATTTGGAAAAATCAAGAGTATGGCTAAACATGAAGACTCCATATTTCCAGGCTACTAGTGGGCTTGTTCATCAAACACATTCAGGTAGGTCACTGCTTGGGTCCTTTGTCGTTTTCAGTTCTAAATGATTCATGGAATCCAAGAAACAAAATTGCCCTAGGTAAAAGGATTGATCTAAAGGGGCTGTATTTAACAGAGGAGATCAATATTCTCTACAGTATTTTTGTTTCTGTTGAGCAAGTGTTCAATATGTCACGGTAGAAGTCCGCAAAGTGACTTAAGTTTGTATTGATAAAATGACATCTTAAATAAGGTTCTGCAGATTGTCTAGACCTTCATTTCACTGATGGAGTAAACTATTTTATAAGTAGTCATGGTAAGTACTAGTAGTAATACTTGCAAAGAAACATTTTTTCTTGGAATATTTAACATATTTTTTACAAAGCTCTGATTTTTCCGCACCAATCTATGCATCCAAATAGCCTCAAAAGGCCCTCGTGTGCAACATAGAGAATAAGACCTCACTTTTTTTTATTGCATCTTCTAGGGTGAACCTTTACATGCAATCTCTGAATTCTTATGGACTTGGAATCTAAAAAAGTATTAAACAATTATCCAAGATTAAAACAAGAGAAATCTTGTGTGAAAATCATAAGAGGGAGTGGAATCAAAATACAGTAAAGTCTCACTTATCCAACATAAATGGGCTGGCAGAACATTGGATAAGCGAAAATGTTGGATAATAAAGAGGGATTAAAGAGAAGCCTATTAAACGTCAAATTACGTTATGATTTTACAAATTAAACACCAAAACATCATGTTTTACAGAAAAAGCAGTTCAATACACGGTAACGTTATGTAGTAATTACTGTATTTATGAATTTAGCACCAAAACATTGCAATGTATTGAATGTATTGACCCGGGTGGGAGGCAGACTGCGTTGGATAATACAGAATGTTGGATGAGTGGAGGTTGGATAAGCGAGACTCTACTGTACAACATGATAAGAGCTTTCAGGTAGAAGATTTCAGCATTCTTTATAAATAAAAATGCATTTTTCACACAAGGATGCAGTTCAGCGGAGGGATCTTGTTGTGCGGATGTTCTAGAAGATATGTTTCATGTGCTTGATTCCATAGGTTTTGAAGAAGACCATGATAATGAGCGCCCAGAGACCTAAAATAAAACCTCCTGGAGGATGCCAGTCCTTCTGTTTTGGTTTCTGCAAAATGAAAATAAAATATTAATATTCATTACAATCAGCATAGCGGAAAGTGTTTCCATAAAAGAAAAAGGAAGAAAAATCAAAACTTAGGCATGTTTCACTCTGCATCGAGTCCTAGAGTATTCAATGGGGGTTATTCCATGTTTAGCATCACATTTCAATCATGTGGTAATGTGTCTGTGCTGTACAACCAGTTCTGTTGACCTACTGATTCAAGTGTAGTAGAGTCTCCCTTATCCAACGTAAACAGGCCGACAAAACATTGGATAAGTGAAAATGTTGGATAATAAAGAGGGATTAAGTAAAAGTCTATTAACGTCAAATTACGTTATGATTTTACAAATTAAGCACCAAAACATCATGTTTTACAACAAATCAGCAGAAAAAGCAGTTCAATACATGGTGATGTTATGTAGTAATTACTGTATTTACAAATTTAGCACCAAGACATCACAATGTATTGAAACAGCTGTGGATCTGCCCGGGACGCGGACTGTGTTGGATAATTCAGAACGTTGGATGAGTAAAGGTTGAATAAGAGAGACTCTACTGTACTAGCTTTCATTTTCAAATGCAGCATACTTAAATGTCATATAATATAATTTTAAAATATTTCTGTCCTGTTTAGAGAAAATGAGGAAGCATTCTAGCTATCTTATTTTCAAACAATATGGGTGCTGTCACGTTTCTTCAAAGGTTCCTTTCAAATGTGAGAAGTGAGACACGTCCTCTCTCAAAAGCATGGAAGATCTAAAATAAATATTACTGTTTATTTTGATTTAAATGCATTTATGTTGACATACACTGAACTGTATAAAGGAAAGGGTGCGATTGCTTTCTTCTGTGATGTGGAAGGCAGAATATATAAATGGCAATCGTTCACAATCTCAGGTAGTTTTTCAAATCTGTTAGAAATCTGGTTGTAACTGGAGCCAAAAGTATGGAACTGTTGCAAAACGTATGAGGAAGGTGATTAAGTGAAATGTTGTTTTGGGTAAAAGAATGTATTCCAAGCAATGAAAAATGCAAATAGCTTTGTGGTATGTTTTAATGAGAACAGAGCTGCCAACAAAAGAATGTATATTCACCTTAAAAATGGCTAAGCAACTCTCATTAACAATAAAATGTATGCAGCACTGATCACTCGCCTCATTGGTATTCACAGACACTCATTTCCCATTAAAATATCGCAAGGCATCAAGCCTAAATATACAAGGCTGCCAGCACAACCCCGTACGGAAAGTAACAGCCCCTACTTCACACAAAGGAAACTTTCAGTTTTAAATTTTCCTAATTAACCCAGAACTTCATATGCATATTGCCTTGCTCATTTCATCCATCTCTTTGTGCTATCAATCTTCCTCCTTGGATCTCAGACAAATCCTCACCATAAAGTGGCACCTGACCCTCCTAGACAAATGACTTCAATTTGCAGTCAGTGACACTAAAAGCCTTTCTCGTCTATTTTCTATAGAACACATAATTTAATTTCTTTGAAGAAATTTATAGGAATAAATATTTATAAGGTGACCTCGGTGGAAGGTTTTACATCTTGTCATCCCTCTCGCCACAGCTTCCACCCCTCTCTTCCGGCTGCTGAAATTTCAAGGGAGGCCCGGCGAAAGGCATGCTTTTCATATTTGAATTCAAGAGCATGCAAGTAATCTGTTCAAAGCCCAGCAGTGGAGCTTTCAAATGCGCATTATGGATAAAGGAAGAAAAAGAAAAAAGACTAAGGCAACAAAAGAAAAAAATAATAATTGGGAAAGGTAAATACGCTGCCTTCTGAGCAGCAGATATGTCTTGATACTTGAGATTACAGATTTGCAGAGGAAAAATTGCACAGCAGGCCACAACCTTACAGGAGCAAAGGTCTTGTTCTCAGCAAACACGTCTGAAGTCCCTGAATATATGAGCATTTTTTATCCCTCTCCCACTGTATCATTTAGTTTATTGGATGCTTAGACTATAGGTCTTTCACATATAAGGCAAATGGATAAATACATGAAATCCAGATTAGTAAATACAATATAAAAGACACAATTAAAATCCTATAAATCATTAAAATTATTATTTAAAATAATTGAAATTATTAAAATATATCGATGGAAAGATATACCCTTAAAATACTACATGGACTCGCACCTGCATAATTAAAAACCAGATAAAACCAAACCAAACAGCATTATTAAAACTACATAAACAGCCACTATTAGTTAAAAGCATCCCCAGCACAGTCAACTGCAATATCAGAGATTAGCTCTGTTGACAAGCTACTTGCGATGAATGAGGATGACATCACAACTCTAAGTCCAATACACTGCCTGAAGCCTAGGAGTGAAAATCAGATACAGTACCTCCAATGTGTGAATTGCCACCCAACCAAAAAGCCTCTGCTCAAACTGAACTTCCCACTGTATGGAGCTTTCTCTTTCTCTGCGGTTTTTAATAATGTTTCATTCTATTTTTTTATTTGACTATTTTTAATTGTTGAGTCTTATCAGTCACCCTGAAGAGCTTTCAACACAAAGTCAAAATCCACATATTTTGAATGAGTAAAGATAAATTATTTTCTTACTAACACAACATCTCTGAGGTTGCCGTTAATTCTCCTTTTATTTTTCCTCAGAAGGACTCTGATGAAGCCTTCATATCATTGCTGGAAGAAGCCTATGCTTTATACCCATTGGCTACAACACTGCGCTAAGATGCTAACATTTTTTATGCTTAATATGTCACATTTAGCATAAAGAGTTTCATTTCTATTTAATCCCTGCAGTAAGATGTTTAAAACCATGTTTCTTCTTCTGAAGCACGGATATGAAAAATCCAACTTTGTGTCCCATAATTTATATCCTGTTTAGCTGAGCATTTAAGTAAAGGTAAAGGTTTCCCCTGACATTAAGTCTAGTCATGTCTGACTCTGGAGGGTGGTGCTCATCTCCATTTGTATGCCAAAGAGCCGACGTTGTCCATAGACACTTCCTAGGTCATGTGGCTAGCTTGACTACATGGAGCTGAGCATTTAGTCAAGACATATGCAATGATCCATCTATCTATATATTCAATGTTAGTGTTTTCCAGACAAGTTTTATTTATCTAATTAAGAAGAAATTACTACCAATTTCCTCATTCATGTTTCAGGGCCACTTTAAGATTAATGTTGAGGTATCCCTGCGGCTGATCTTGTGTTGAAGGAAGGTGTTAAGATTCTTCTAATTTTGGAATTCTACCTTTGTGAAAAGAGTATTAACACTATCCTCAATATCCTCAATATATTTGGTAAGAACTGAAAGTTTAGAATCCATGGGCTCCAAAGCTGATGACCAATCTTGCTGTAAACCTTTTACTAGCTTCTTTTGGTTTCTCCAATAACCCAGAAAAAGATATGTTTATCACTGAAGATCAGCCATTCTTGATTTACTCCACTTTGGTGTGGAGAGAGTTTTGTCCTTTTCAATTAAGAGTTTTAGGTTGTTTTGTTTCTTTGTTTAATTGATTGTTCCATCGAAGGATAGTTGGTGGGGATGAGGGAGAGGGCCTTCTCGACGGTGGCCCTCTGGCTCTGGAACACTCTCCCTAGGGAGATTAGGCAAGCCCTAACACTGTCCTCCTTCCATAGAGACCTGAAGACTTAGCATTTTAAACAAGCTTTTGAAAATGCCCAATCCCTAGCAAACCTACGCACTTTATCCCATGCCCTCTTCCCAGTTCGCTCACTTGCCCCTTTGGTAATGAGTGCTGATTTAATTGAGTGTTAGTTGTTGTTTCATGCTTATATGTTTTATTTAATTGTATTTTTAATTGTTTCCATTTTATGATCTGTTTTTAGGCACCTTGTGCCATGCATAAGCCATCCTATGTCCCTCCGGGGAGATGGTGGTGGGATATAAGAATAAAGTTGTCGCTCTGGCTGGTTTTTAAAAAGATTTCCAGCTCTACCATTTAAGAATGTTTTGACGCTATGCCCAGCTAGCTCTCTAAATATCTGCCATATCAGACATTCGGCCACAAAGAAATATATTCAAAGTTACCACCTCCCTTGGGGAAAAGGGGCTAAAACCACATTTAACACTTCCTGGTGCAATCCTAAGTGAGGTTTTCTTCTATTCCAAGATATCAAAGGTTTCCTTCTGTATTAAAGTGTAGAGCACTTCTCTTCCCAGATCTTTATAACAGATCATTTCCTCTACCACCAAAGTCTGTCAGCATTTCGCAGCCACTCATTCACTGAAAGTATAATTGTTTCTTTCAATATCTTAAGAATATATACAGATAATAATCACGCAACAGTTTGAAAAGTACTGTGTTCTTTTTTTATGGAATACATGAATAGTCATGTTGAAGATATGATGTCTTCTCTAACCTAGAATCTATGATTCTGGGTTAGAGAAGACATCATATCTCCAACATGACTATTCATGTCATTTTTATGATCAACTCTTACAGTAATTTTCAAGAAGGTTTACTGTGTATGTAAATGATTGCTAAACAGCTGCCATTTCATAGAGATTCCTTTTTCTAACGTTCAAAGGGTTTCAATTTTCTAAAGTTCTGATGTCCGGAAGATGAGGTGATGGATTAAACTTACACCTTCACAAGTTACTCTTTTTCTTATTAAAGAAGTCAGAGTTCTCTGCCAACAAACTAACGAAAAGAGATTTCACCTATACAATGGGAGAAACTTCCTGATGATGAGCATTGTTCGACAATGGAATATGCCTTCTATATACCTGGTTGGCCCTTGTGGTCTCTTCCAACTCTATTATTCTTACAGTGCACAACCAAAATCTTCTCACCCACCTACTCCTTGCTGCAGACAAAGAGGGGAAAGTGGAGAGAGAAGCAAAAAAAGGGGTCTGTTTTCCTATAGCAGAATGCAGAGCAATGGCATCACTCAGGGCTGTCTTAAGGGCATTACAGACTCCTAGGAGTAGCAGTGCAAAGGACTGCCTACACAGCCGCTCACTGGAATATAAAATGTAAAATATCAATAA